TAAGATGAATGACTTTTATGGTTTGATGCTGATATTTGTATATCTTAAAGAGTAGTTTTTTTGCGTTTTGACAACATGACATTCATAGTGAATATCCATTAATATTCATATTACTTGGTGTGAGTCGAGTTTGGTAGTTTTCTGTAAAATATGTAGTGTAAAATATGGTTTTCTTACAATATACTCACCTGCATACTAGCCTCTGTGGCTAATACCCCTATGACAAAAAAATAATTATAAAAATGCCCTTGGTATATTCTAACAGGGTAGAGCTTGGATGGTTTCCTTAATTGTCGAAAGATCCCCTGGGTGTATTCAGCTAAACATAATGCATCATCATCATATAAGAGCCATATGTGAACTGCCCAAACTGTTTAACTTCGAAGTGTACTAAGCAAGAAGTAACTTGAAACTGTCCTTGCTTATGAATGACCTGTCAGTTACATAAAGTTGAATTGAACAATCAGTTTTTATATTTTTTAAGACAATAGCTCTTTTCCAAATGAGTGCATATCAGGGAGATCAAAATCCATGAATCAAATGCTACCAGGAGCTTGTAATGTTCAGTGTATTCTGTTTTTTGAAATGTATTTACCTAAAGATAGCTCCACAAGTGCTTAGCCACCATGGAGTCAATTATTAGACCATGGCCTTTCTCTTTTCTTTTGGATTTTAATAAAAAGGTCGATTTTGTTAAAGTTATTGACTATTATCACGATGATGTTATAAATTTTGCTATGAGGGTTATTAGCCTAAGCACTTACGGAACCATTTACTTCATTGTCATTTAGAGTGAAAATACTTTGATTTCATGAAGAAAAAAGGCTGAACTTTTAATTATTTTGATTCTGGAAGATTGTAGTTTGTATCTTAGAAAGAAGTAAAGGAATCTTATGAAGCCAGATTTGATTTGACGATGAATTAAGCAAATTTGCTTTTGCAGAATAAACACACACTACACAAATACTAAAATGACAAAATTTTTAAACGGAACAAAAATTTTACACTAGGAGAAAAAAATGATATTACAAAATATGAAAATTTTATACCCACAGAACACCTCTTATGTTTGTGGAGAATGCCTCCATGTCTTTTCCACCATGGTGGAAATTGCAGCCCACGATTGCACCATAAATGGAGGAGGGGCATTCATGAGCCAGGATGAAAGTCAGTACCATGAACAAATAATACATGAAGAGAAAAATTCAGGTGAGACATTTATTTCGGTTTGTTTGTTATTGCATTTGTTTATTTATTGGTTAGTTGGCTGCTTTTGTATTTTCATTACCAACCAAGAGATTTATGTTTAAATTATTATTTTTTTTGTGATGTTGATTCTCACCCTTTGGTTTTGTTGTTTTTCTTTTAATGTTACATTTTCAAAATGTAATAGTGTTAAGAATCCCCAGGCATGCTAAAAATATATTTCAGAGAGGTTAGGCTTTTGCTTCTATCCAATATAACAATGTATAATCCAGATCAAACATTTTCAAATCTATGTATAAAATTCTATGTAGGTACAAGACATGCAGAGACTGAAGCAGACATGGAGGCAGCTGTTGCCAGCATCCTTGTAGAGAAGATGAAGCAAAAGGCACCTCAAAAGCAGACATTCCATGTGGTTCACCTGGAAGAGAAGCAGTTAGAAGAGGTTGCGTCGGGGCACTTTGAGGAACCTACCGTCGAACACACCAGTATCGTAGACTACCAGACAGAGCCAGATCCCCTGCTCCACATTGTAGAACACACAGATCAGCTGGAACCGGGGATGGTTGTGGAGAGCATGGAGATCCCCTCAACCAATGTATACATCTATGATAATCCCTTTTATCTCAATCGTTTGATGAAAGACAATACTTGTGGCAGGAGGGCTAGGCATGATGCACCGTACACACATCGGCTAGGTTTGTGTTTTCTACCATTAGAAATGTTTTTTTGTGTACCTAAGCTTTGTGCGATCTCACGAGAAGTAGCTTAATGTTGCCATCGTTGTTATCATCAGTCATCCTTAAACAGAAGTATAGAGATGTCATAAAAACATTTAATGAAGGTGTTGCAGAATACAGATGTATATTAATGTTCTTGTTTGAACTATGGTTTACAATTAATTTGTAATCCAACTTTCAAGTATAGGTAATACAAAATGTTAATGTACAATAAATATTTCATTAAAGATATTATCTTTGCTTACAGGACCTTGGGATGATAGGTCAAGCAGACTCCTTATCCAGCTGTTGAAGGAATATCCAAAGGCCTTTTTCATAATGGGGAAGAACTCCAAGAGAACAGAAGCATGGGAGATGATCCGATACAAGCTCAGTGAAGCTGGTTATCATTTTACTGTGTTGCAGGTGAGAACCTTTTTTTTGAAAGCCTATGTATATAGAGAGAAATTTAGCAGTTTGATTTTAGTTTATGGCACAGGTATATAGCTCTTTGTCTTGTTACATTTTGTTGTAATATATGTAACTGATCATCATAGAATTTTTATTCCTCTTAAGCATATTTATGTTTAATTCTGTTTGCTTTATTTTAATTTTATTAATGGTGCTTTGTATATCCTGTATTTTTTAAGATACGAATGCGGTGGAGAGAACTGTGCAAGAGGTATCGCAATATTGTTAATCACAATGATTTGCACAAAACTCATCGTTCCTGCCAGTTCTTTGAGGAACTAAATGATCTTTTTGGTAAGTGAGATATGTGTGTGCCAGAAGCAATGACACATTAATATAGATGTATAATTAACTACTTTCCCTTACATAGACCCAAGCATCTGCTGCTTTTGATGTATAGCGTCTGGGTACAGATATAGGACTCGCATAGCGGTTTAAAGGGGCAACTAGAAGATGTCCTGGCAGAGATGGATACAGGTGAGTTGTTAAGATAAAGATTTATTGTGTAAGTGTGTATGTATAGAATGTATATACTATATGCTACATGTACTATGTATACTATACAGCATGTAGTATATATAGTACATAAAGAATATATAGTATATATAGTATTAATAGTATGAATAGTATATATAGTGTTGATAGTATGAATAGTATATATACTATAAATAGTACATATACTATATATACTATATTTGCTATAGTAGCTATATTTACTATGTATACTATATATAGTATATAGACTCTGTAGACTATTTATATTCTATATATTCTATATATTTTGTATATTATGTATACCATATATACTATATATACTGTATATATTATATATACTATATATATACACATATATGTATATATACTCATATATGTATATATGCTCATATATATATATATATATGTGTGTGTGTGTGTGTGTGTGTGTGTGTGTGTGTGTGTGTGTGTGTGTGTGTGTGTGTGTGTGTGTGTGTGTGTGTGTGTGTGTGTGTGTGTGTGTGTGTGTGTGTGTGTGTGTGTGTGTGTGTGTGTGTGTGTGTGTGTGTGTGTGTGTGTGTGTGTGTGTGTGTGTGTGTGTGTGTGTGTGTGTGTGTGTGTGTATTAGTATAAGTGTATATGTATGTCTATAAAACAAATATGTATTTACACATGATCTTACCAGTATAATATCTTTATTGACTCTTGATGCACTCACAGGTTCACCGCAGACCAGGTCCATGGAAGATGGAATGCCTTAGTAATGCTGTACAGGAGGATGGTTAACCACAATGCAAATTCCAATAATGAACCTATGACAATTGCTTTCAAGGAGTCTGTGGAAAGTGTATTTAGCTATACCCCGGACAGCAAGATATTTGAAAAGTGTGAAAAGCAGCTTAATGAGAGAAGTATGTGAAGGTTATATATGTTATTTCTTTGTTTTTTCTAAGTGTGTAATTCTTGCGTTTTTATAGGTGTATCTATTTTGGTGTATCAGTCAGTCTGTTTTGCATCATGTAATTGTTATATTGAGATATATTGTAAATATATCTTGCATAATTTACATTTAACAATATGTGTCAGTTAGTGTAATTATAGATGCGTGATGGATTTAATATAAAGAGAAGACACACATGTGTATGAGTACACAGTTTTTTTTCTATTAACCACATGCTACCAGGGATGTCATGTGTGTACATGCCATGCCCACTGTGTGTTCAATTCAGTAATTATTTTTACATATAGATGACTTCACAGGTACTCCTTCACCAATGAGCCAATTACGAGAAGTACCTGATTCACTTGTTTACCCTTTTCCTTGATTTTTGATAATATTTTCAATAACATGATTTAGATTATGATGTTTATGAAAAAAAAACAGTATTAATAATAATAGCTTATGTAATGAAAAGCAAAATCAGTTGATTCCTTTGTAGCTCAGTACTGGCAGAAACATCTATGTGCAGAGAATTTTGATAAAACAATACTTTCCCGGAGGCATTGAGTTACGATCTATATTTTTTATTTTTTGTTCTACAGTGAAATGGACACCATCCCTTGAACGATGTCTCCTAGCAGCTTACAAAGATTTGGTAGACAGCCCTAAGAAAGAGCAAACAAAAAACAATGAACTGTGGCAGAAGATTGCTATGGTAAGGAAGATAAAAAAATGAACTAAAATACATGTAAACTGATGATCATTTCCTATTACTTTTGCAGAAATATATTTTATGATATTTACAGTGCTGTATATATAATGCTTACATATATCCTCTTATGAGATTGAAGATGTGCTTGTAGTTGAAACTTAGATGAAGTTACAAATGAAAAACATTCTTTATACTGATTGGGTCTCTTCTTTTAGTATTTAGAAAAAGAAGCCAGTTATGTTACAACAACAGAAAGAGTAAAGACTCGCTTCTATGAGCTGGCAAAGCAGTATGCAGCCATGTTACAGCATAATTCTGATCCAGGGACACTTTATCGGGAGTCAAGACATCATGAAATATTGGCTGAGGTATACTGTCTTTTTGGAGATTCCATGTACATATTATCAGTATTATCATGTGCATGTCTCTACAATCTTAACATTTATTCTGATAGTTATATAGTATAAGCCAGTAAGTTATTTTTATGATCTTTTTGATTAAGATATGAAGTGGAGCACTGAACATATATTAGATATTGTTTTACCTTGGATATGTGATAGCAGTGTTTTTGACAATGTTTTTCAAAATGGCAACATGCATTAGTTGATTGTAAGATAAGATAGCATAGAATAGAAGCCTTTATAAGATAAGAATGAAGAAGAATATATTTTGGAAACCTTTCCTTACAGATTTATAGCAGATACAATTGTTGGCCACATGATGGCTCTACTATCAAACTTGACAAATCCAATGCAATACGACTGAGACAATGTAAGTTTTTGTATTATTATCATAATGTTTTAATAAAATTTTGATAATGCACTCCTCTTTTTTGTAAGTTTTGACATTTTGCTAAAAACTAATTTTGGTAAATATTCTCTGATCAGTAGTAGCTACACAGAAAGTGATCTTTAGTGACATTTAAAACTGTATTTTGTTAATAAATACCATATCATATCATATCATAAGTCCATATCATATTGTTGTATGTCCAAGTAAGGTTTTGATTAGTCATAGTATGAATGTTATGCTGGTTATTACATGGTATTTGCAACTATTGTGACTAGCTAATATACATGAGATATTTATATATTTTTTTGTTTTTTTCATTGGATTTTTGTTTCCACATATGTTCCTAGTATGTGTTGTTTCTTTTTTATAATACAGTGGATGCCCAGCTACTCTGGAGTGAGGAGGAGTCCATTGCAGTATTGCAGCTCTACCCAAATGTCTTGCTAGATCACATTAGTAACAGTGATCAGCCTCAGCCACCAGAGGAGTTGTGGGTTCAGTTGGCCAAGGCATTATATGCTTCAGATGGTTATGTGAAGGCTCCTTATGAGGTATACCAAATAGTCTCTTTTTGTACTACATAGCTTGTGCTTGTTTGCTGTACTTGATCTACAAATAGAGATGTCTGCTTATATGTAAATTTATTTATCAATTTGTGTTTATCTATATAAATGTTTATGTGTGCTTGTGTAAGTGTCTGTGTGTATGCATTAGGGTGTGTCATTAAATGCAACTTTTTCTAAATAAAGTACCAAGTTCTTAGATATGTGCCTATTTTGCCTAAATGAATGCGTTCCAAATATTAGTCAATTTAAACAGCTTTCAGTGTTCGGCCTTTGCAATGTTATTGCTGTATAGCACCATTTCGGGTGCTGGTTTAAGCAGTGCCAAGCCACACAACCTGTGTGATCCATGTACAGGCACTTCAATTCTTTGGGCATCATTGCAGAGTCAGGCTTAGGCACTTGAGATCATTTTATATGACAACTTGGGACTTCTTAAAAATTTACAAGTGATAAAATGGCACCATTGGATGTCATGTGCTGTGTACATTTTCAAAAAGGTACATTAAAAAGAGCCACTAAATAGTCTGAACCAGGAGGTATCTGAAATTGGCCATTGATAGGTGGAAGCATCGGCAAGTTTTGCTACATTGAAAACAGTATGCTCTATCATAATAGCAGTGAACTCATTTATTGATTTTTAGATGGATATTGAAACTAGATACAGCTAGCCTGCAGATTTTCACCCTGCTACTAATGACTGTGTGTGTGTGTGTGTTTATATGTATGTATGTATGTATATGTGTGTATGTATATATGTTTTTGTTTGCATGTGTGTGTTTTAAGCCTTGTGTTACCTACTTTTATACTGTATTTCCTATAGTCCCTGTATTCTATACTCAGTTAACAATATCTGTATATTATTTCATATAACACTGTTGCTTCACTCATATAAACATGTAACTGTCATAATTGTGCAACTAATTGTCCACTCATTGGACACAAAGAAACAAGAACAAACCAAGCCAGGCTTCTATGCTGGGTTCCCAATATTCGTCTATCTATTCTTTATGTCTTCTGTTACTTGTTATCTTAGACCTTCCTCCCTTTGTCTGCATGCGACACAACAGACACAGAGACAGAATTCACACCTCACTCCATAAGCTGACTTTCCTGTACACATATATCAATAAAGTCAAGCTAAAAGATAGTCTTCTCGTGCATCCTATCATCTTGCCAGACATCAATACCTGTTGGCCTATTCAAGTACTTGTACATGCAATATATCGACCAAGTCTACATCATGTGTCTGTCTGTCTATGTATTTCTGTGTTTATGTTTTTATCACTATCTTTATCTTTATGTGTAGGCACTTTGCAACATGCATTAAACCTCCCCCATGGCCACAGATAGAAGAGCACATCACCCTCCTGCGCCGAGGTCACAAGAGCTCCAGACGCTTCCCTTTCCAAGCTGCAATGGACCTCCTGGAAGAGACAGAGACTTCACTCTGCTTCTCTCCCGAGTCCCCTTCAAGAGACAGTGACCAGCTCTTGCCCTACTGGAGTCATGGAGCTGCCAGGCTCATGCTCGACCTTGTCATTCACTACCGGCAGGAGGGAATTAAAATGATGACTGATAATCTCTTTGAAGTTATTAGCCGCAATATGGAGGAGGAGGGTT